AGACATTTGATAATCTTGTATTGACTCTAACGAATTGCTGTCATAGGGACATGAGGCCAGAATGAAAACCAGAGGCTTGAGCATGTGTGGAGCTCTAGAAGAAAACACAATGGAATCTGACCCTGGCCTGCCTCATCAGCTGATAGATCAAACACAGAAGTTATTTAAACTTTCACTGCTTGCCTTAATTTTCTACCCCACACTCTCTTCTCTTACCCATAGCAGATGTCTTATCCTATTAAATCTTGGAAGAAATAGAAACCTCAGGAAGTACTATTGCAAATTCTTCTCTGTTCTTTTCTTTTACGTATGTGTGTGTGTGTTTCTGTATGTATATCTGTATGTATGTATGTATCTCTTGTGTGTGTGTATGTATGCATAATGTGAAGATGGCACAAGATAGGACAGGCAGGGTTCAGGTCTGTTCATAGGTTCACTATGAGTTATAATCACCTTGATGGCACCTAAAAACTACAATATGTATGTAGGTATGTAGGTATGTAAGTATATATATCTACACTGATTATATACATCTTTACTCCTCCCTTCACTTATTTTTATGATTAAGGTTAATCTCTCCAAATATGCCTTTCTCCTACAATGATCTTTTCTATGTAAAAAAACTTCTTTTCAGTGTTCACTTAATTATTCTTGTACAAAACCGATACCTAGACCAAGAAGCTGTTGTCCAAACAAAGCAAGACAAAATTGCATGGTTTAAAATGAAGAAAGATGTGCGTCAGGACTATATTCTTTGTTCATACTTACTCAGTTTGTATGCTGAGTAAATAATTCAAGAAGCTGGACTTTCTTTTTTTTTTAATGATTTATTTATTTATTTTAAATTGTATTTGGGTGAAAGTTTGCAAAGTATATTAGTTTTCCTTCAACCATTCAGGCACCAATTGTTTTATAACATTATCTGTAATACCCATAACATCAATTATAATACCCACAATGAACTTTTCCACTTTCTTCTTGTAATTCTCATCTCTTTTCATACTTTTATGGAGTTCTGGTGACTCAATGAAAAGTCACCAACCCAAAGACATGGGTTTAAGTCCACCAGGTGCATTGGGGGAGAAAGATGGTCAATTTCTTCTCCTGTGATTACTACTTTTCAAAACCTACTGGAGGTCAACTCTAACAACAGCATTAGTCTTTTTACTTTGCCTCTTCCTTTCTTAAGCGTGTTTTCTTTTGGTAAATGCTGTTCTTTGACTTAAATGGTTGGTTGTTCTAAGGAATGAATTCCTTCCTGGTGCCACTAATCACCTTATATACTATTGATTGGCTTTTATTCCAAAGAATGAGCCCTCCTAAAAGTATGCCCAAAGTGAGTAAGATGAAGTTCTATCATCGTTGCCTCTAAGAAACACTCTGGTTTCATTTTTTTCTAAACAGATTTGTTTTGTTATTTTAGCAGTCCATGCTATATTACATATTTAACACCATAATTCAAAGGTTTCAATTCTTCTCCTGCCATGAAGCTGGACTTTCTGAAGAAGAACATGGCATCATGATTGGAGGAAGACTCATCAGCAACCTGTGTGGTTGGAAGACACAACCTTCCTTGCTAAAAGTGAGGAAGACTTGAGGTACTTGCCACAGAAGATCGAGGAGCCCAGTGTTTAATATGGATTACATCTCAACAACAAGAAAACCGAAATCCACAGGCCACAGTGCCAATAGGCAACATTATGACATATGGAGAAAAGATGGAAATTGCCAACAATTTCATTCTACTTGGATCTACAATCAACACCCATCATACCAGGAGACAGGAGATCAGAAGATAAGATGTATTGCATTAGGGAAGTCAGTTGTCAGGCATTTTACAAAAGGCCTGAAGAGTAATGATATAAGTTTGAAGACTAAAGTGTGCCTGATTCAGGCTTTGGTCTTTGTAATCACCTGAGAGCTTCACAATGCATAAGGAAAGCAGAAAAAGAATTGATGCCTTTGAGTTGTGGTGTTAGAAAAGAGCACTGAATATCCTATGGGCTGCCAAGAGAACAAACTGATATATCTTGGAGAAAGTGCAACCAGAGTGATCCTAACACGTAAGGATGGGGACCCTTCATCTCACATACTTTGGGCATAAAAATGACTATCTAGAAAATACTAAGTGACGATTCTGCACTATCATAGTAGGTTGCTGTGAATCAGACTTGACTGTGTGACATATAATAATATCAGCAGGAAGTCTTGTCTGAACACTGGATCTGAGATTTCTGGGAGATTTCCAACTGGAGGTGTCACTTTAGTCGGGTATTTGAATCTGCAACTCAGTGAGCTATCTGAAGAAGAGTGATTAATTCTGAGCTGCTAACCTAGAGGTATTAACAAATGTCATGAGATAAATTATAGAAGAGAAAGCTTTAGGCAGAGCTCTGTATACAGATTTGGTCAGCGAGGAGGAAACAACACAAGAGAACAGAGGTTGGAAAACCCTCTAAGGGAAGGTGGTGTCGTGAAACCAAAGAGCCTTCAAAAGAAGTCATGGTCAATTGTGTCAGAAATTCAGAGATGTCAAACAAGACAATTAGACAATGACGAGAACATTTGGTGATGCTGTTCATTGTTATTGAGCTGGAACTGACTCATATCTGGCCCTTCAGTGGATTTACAGAGGCTCTAAATCCCATGGGAGGAGATTGTTCATCTTCTCCAGTGGAGAAGCTCATAAGTTCAAATTGCTTGCCTTTGGATTGGCAGCTCAAATTCTTACTCATGTACATCATGAAGTATCTTAGCCAGTACAGTGTTGTTGTTATATGCCATCAAGTTGAATATGATTGATAGAGACCCTGTGAACAACACATCTAAACCCTAGCCATCCTCATCGTCTCTGGGCTACTTGAGCACATTGCTCCAGTCACTGCAGCATCGCATGGAGGATCTTCTCTTTTGAGGGCCTTCTGAGCATGATACTTCTTCCGAGGAATATCTTCTTCTAACAGTCTGCCCAAAGTATGTGAGACATAGCTTTACCATCCTAACCTCTAAGGAGCACTCTGGCTACACTTTCTCCAAGACATACCTGTTCATTCTTTTGGCAGTCCATGGAATATTCAGTGGTCTTCTTTAACACCACAACTCAGGCATCAGTTCTTCTATTATTCCTTGTCCAGCTCCCATTTGCTTAACAAGTCACTGAAAGACCATGGCTGGAATCAGACACATCATCAGTCAGTCAGTACAGTGCCCTGGAGGCAAAATCCACATTGAAGAGCTGCCCGCCCACTTAGCACTCCATCAGAAGTCTCACAAAACATACACTATATTATGGTGCAATGAATTCTGTGGAAATGGCTGATTAGATAATTTGTTGGGTTTTTTTTTTCTTTTTATGATAGGCTCTTATCTTTATTGTTTTATTCTGATTACTAAAGTAGTAAATGGTAAACATTAAAAAGTATATATGACTGAGATGATTTGATTCCATAATCTTATTCACTAACATATGACTACTGTGAAGGGTGCTCTTAGAAGCAAAGATGGTGAAACTATGCCTCACATACTTTGGGCATGTTGTCAGGAAGGACCATTCCTTGGAAAAGGAGATCATATTGGGTAAATTAGAAGAACAGAAATGAGAACACTCTCAACAAGATATATTGACCCAGTGACTATAGCAATGGATTGGAATATATCAGAAATTGTGAGGATGGCTCAGGATAAGGCACGGTTCAGATCTTTTGTTCTTATGGTCTGTCTGTATGAGTCATGATGGATTCAATAGCACCTAACAACACACAACAATAATTTGAGGATGGCCTCAAGATTTTTCTGTCCATATGCTACTGCATGCGCGCACGCACACACATACACACGCGCGTGCACACACACAGCTCTGGTTGCTTTGGGAACTGTGATATCAACATAAAGGTGCATGGTTTGAATCCACCAGCCTCTTCACAAGAGAAATACAGGCAATCTCCTCCCATGCTGTTTACAGCCTGTGAAAACCTGCACGAGGATCAGCTTATGGGCTAGTTTCAACTTAATGGTAGACAACAGCAACAACAACAACAACAACAACATACACTATACACATGGTTTACATTATATGCTGCACAGCTGGCTTATGTTTTTAATTTGTGTTTTATACTTAAGGATATAAAACAGATGTATAATATTATTTTGTGTTATGGTAGTTTCTGAATGTTTGGGTTTATTTAGAAATACCTGCTCTCTGGGGAGGTCTGGTGGCCTAGTGACAAGAAGCTGCATTGGTTTGAATCCACCAGATGCTCTGCTGTGGGGAGGAGGGGACAATCTCCTCCTATACCAGTCAGATCTGATTTGATGATACACACACAAAAAGTAATAAAAAAAAAAAAACCACAACAACAAAAACCAAACCTGCCCTCTCATATAATGCTACATTGAACGTCCTTGGGTGTATTTATTTCTTTACTGTGTATATGGGAATTTTTCCTGGGACAACTTCCTAAAGTATAATTGTGGATTCAAAGGATGCATCATTTATCCATTTGATATTTTTATTGTGACACTTTATCTAGGGAGAGGGGTATTTTGTTTTGTTTTAAGATGGAAAGATTATTAATATTTTGGTGGCAGGAGACAATACAAGGGGCAGGAAGAACTGAACGAACCCTAGTCACACAAACTGGTGGTTTGATGGTGAGCAGTGCTGTCAGTGCATTCATGTGGTCTGAACCCACCAGCTACTCCATGGGAGTCAGATGGACAGCCTCCTCCCATGCAATTTGTTATTGTGTATCATCAAGTTGGAAGCTACTCATGGACTCCAGCAGGTTTTCAGAGGCAGTTAATCACACAGGAGATGAAAACCTGCTGGAAGGTCAGCTATGAGTAGAGCCTGACTTGAATATACACAGCAACAAGTGGCACAAAGGGTTTATTTAGCACATAGCTATTAACAAAAAGGTTAGAGATTTGAACCCACTCAGCAGCCCCCCAGGAGGAAGACATGCTGATGCTCCTATGATGATTACAGCCTAGAAAATAGTATGGGTGAGTCCTACGTGGTCCTCACTGTGGATCCTATGTGGATCACGGTGAGTCAAAATCGGCTTGGCAGCACCTACAACAGCAGGATGACCAGAACCAAACCAAACTCATTGCATTAAAATCAATATGGAGTCATAGGGTAGAGGACAATTGTCTCATAGGGTGTCTGAGGCTGTAGGTCTTTAGAGAAGCTGATAGATACATCTTTTTGCCATGGAACAAGCAGCTGATGGGTTCAAACCACCAACCTTCTGTTTAACAACTGAGTGCTTAACCACTATGCCACCAGAGATCCTCTACAAGTAATACAAAACTAAAACTACACCCCTGGCCATCAGTCAATTCCAGCTCATAGTGACCCTCCATTGTGTTCCTGAGGACATGGCCTCTTATCACTTTCTAGAGGAGTAGCTGGTAGATTTGAACTGAGGATCTTTCCATGACCAGGAAGGCATGCTACTCACTATGCAACCAGAGTTACTGAGTACTTTTTATATTCCAACTATCAGAATCAGACAATTTAATTGTAATGCCATGCAGAGTAGAAATGTTTTATATAATGAGGCATAGCTAGCAATGTAAAAAGACATTATCAAAATAGTACATTAAAAAAAATAATCCATTTAGCAAAGGAAAAAAATGAACAGTTTGACTTTTCCAGAATTTTTTTTTTCCTGGTTCTGCCCACATTTTAATAAAATATCATCAACGTGTCACAGTGATTTTTAACTATTTTATCTTTGCTGAGAAATGATCTTTTTTTCAGTTATGTTAGATTACCAGAAATGAGAATATCAAGCAGTAACTGGCACCCCTCAGTATTAGAAATATAATTATCATATTAGCATCATAAATCATTTGCTTGTCAGTAATACATTAGGCCATGAGACCAACAGCTGCAGCTTTGTTCTACCTAGATGATGTTTCGGTAAAGCCATTTCTATTTTTATTCACTCAAATTTACGGTTTCTTCTTTGTGTTGACATTAACCAGTGAATCTGTTTGTTGCCATTACTAGTGGAATAAATACAAATATAAATACTTCTATATTTACTTTGTCTCATAAACGCTTTCAAGCTATATAGATGCTGTTAATTTGATAGAACATCTGGGTGATAACATCTTGTTTTTCTTCTGTCTTCAGGCAAAATACATATTTTCTTAAAGGCTGTCATTTAATTTTCTTTTAAAAAATCAGCCATACCTTTTCTGTCTCATTTTATTGACCACAGATACATGGTAGATAAATTATACATCTAATCAGAAAGGAATCCAGATAAGAGGTAAAAGTCAAATCACTCAATCAGATTTATAATACTTATTTTAAAATTATCTGTAATATCACCATGTTTCATTGACCTGCTGATTTTGTTGAAAATAATGTATCATAAATACTACAGATAAAATTTCTTTAACATCTAAGTGCTGTAAAGTGGTTAGATCTTTTCTAAACCAGGAGTGAAAAAACAATTTACAATATACTCTCATGTTGTTGCTATGTGTCCTCAGAGTTCCAAGTCACCTGCAACATAGTGACCCTATGTACAATACTTCTGAACCTTGCCTGTCCTGAGCCAATCTCATCATCTCTGACTCATCTAATCTCATTACCCCAGTCACTGAGTCAATCCATCTCTTCCTCACTTGCACTGTTCTGCCACCCTTCCTAGCATGTCTTTCTCCAAGGTCTGATCCCTCCTGGCCACATGCCCAAAGTATGTGAGAGAGAGAGCTTCAAAATCCTTGCCTCTAAGGAGCAGATTGGTTTCACCTTCTTCAGGACAGACCTGTTCTCTTGGCAGTACACAATATGTTCAACACTCTTCTCTAGCACCGTAACTCAAAGCCATCGATTCTTCTGTCATCCTTAGTCATTGTCCAGCTGTCTGATGCATAGCAAGTAAATATATTGTGGCAACTTTCAAAGGTGGTCTGTGGCTAGGTAATTATCTTGGATAACTGTTCTCAAATTGGAATTACAAGGTTATTATGTTATAACACTCCAAGAGAAACAAGACTGTGCAGTAATTACTGTCACCCCTCCCGGAGTTCATAGGCACAAGCACCTTCGTTTCGGATTTGGTTGCAGCTCCTCAGCCTCTGCTTGCCTCACCTGCCTCCTGTTTCTTCTTTAGTTCACATGAAATAGGTCCTTGAGTGAACTCAAGGCTTTGAAGGCATTTAAACTACTTGTCTGTGCTGTCATTGCTACTGCATTTCCTTTCAGATCATAGGCATGTAGCGCTATTATGTACTGTCAAGTCATGTGTCGTCAAGTCAGAACCAATTCAGAGCCGACTCTCCAGGAGGTTTTCAGAGGCTGTAAACAGCATCGGAGGAGACTGCCTATTTTTCTCCTGGGACCCAGCTAGTGGATTTGAACTACTTGCTTTGGATTGGCAGCACAGCACCTTACCACTAACCCACCAGAACTCTATTGCTGTGATGTTAGTTTAATAATAAATAAAAGGTGTTATTTTTCAGCTAGATTCTGCATGAACCAAAAACCTAATCCAGATAATTGAGATGTTTATTAATGAAGTTCCAAACCCAAGTAGTTAGAAACAGTTAGTTTAATTGCTCTGACATTTTGATTGTGTAAATAATTACTGAGATCTCAGATAAATTTCCCCTGTGAATGCCCAGCTTTCTTCTTTTGGTCCACTGAAGGAATTCTCCTGCACCAATAGGAACTGGCATGTTCCCCACCACCTCCTACCAAAAGCATTTCATTAAAGAAGAGAGGACATGTCCCTGTACGGCCAAGATAATATTACATTTAGTAAAATTAAAAGTGATTCCTTAACACAGTTTATACTTATTCTATGCTCAGATTTACCCAGTAACTAAAAAAAAAAAAAATCCTTATAATTAATTTCTCCAAATAAGGATCTAGTCCAGCACCACATATTGATAATGGTCATTATATCCCTCAGGTCTCTAGAAGTGTCTTTTTTTTTTTTAATTCATTGATTTGTTGAAGAAATGGATCCTGTTAATAAATAAGATTACCGAGATAAATTTATTTTACACAATTAATTTATATAAATTAGGAATCAACCTGTGATCACACACTGTGGTTGTTTTGGTCCATTTTATTTAACATTTAAGCACCCTGTATTATTTTATGCCAGTAACTAGATGTAAAATCATGGTCTCTCTTCTTCTTCCACTGCGTTGTCTAATTAATGACAGCCCCTGGTCACAGGTAGCAGTTGTGCTTTGCTTGTTATATGCAAAACCTCTGAATTCAGTGAATTTTAGTGAAATGCACACTGAATTTCTAAGCCTTGTTACCCCCAAAAGGGTATTTATTAATAATTTAAAAACATTGGCTATGTGTTGAAATATTATTTTTTAGATATATTCAATTAAAGAATATATTAAAATTCATTTCACCTCTTGTTCTTTCTTTTTTCATTTATTTATTTCTATTTTTTATCTTTCTTTTTTTAATTGAGATTTCAATGAAAGTTTATAGACAACTTGGACTTCCATTCAGTCATTGTTGCACATTTTCCTCCTTTCCCCCGCCCCCAGTTTGCTTCTCTCTTTGTAAAAAAACAACTCTCTTATTGTTGTACAATTTCCCACCCCAGTCCTCTTTACTATGCAACTCTTATTCTGGACTGTTGTCATACACATAATACCTAACTGAAAGTGAGGAGGAGCTGAAGCACTTGCTGCAGAGAGTCAAGGACTGCAGCTTGAAGTTCACACCAAGAAAGCAAAGATTTTCACCACTGGGCTGACTGACAGCATCATGATAGATTAACAGCTTCAGTTAGCTTGGCTCTACAATCAATACTTTTGGTACTAGCAGCCAGGAAATTAAAAGACAAATGGCATTGGGAAAATCTGCTGTCAGAGACCTCTCTAGAGTACTGAAGAGCAATGACATCAGTCTGGAGACTAAGGTGTGGCTGATACAGGCCATGGTCTTTGCAGTTACTTGCTTTGCATCAGAAAGCTGGACAGTGACTAGGGAATTGTTGCTTTTGCCCTGCGGTGATGGAGAAGGGTATTGAATGTACTATGGACTGCTAGGAGAACAAACAAGTTCATCTTAGAGAGGGTGAAGCCAGACTACCCCTTAGAGGCAAGGATTCTGAACTTCATCTTTGGACATGTTGTAAGGTGTGATCAGTCCTTGGAGAGGGATGTTATTCTTGGAAGGGTGGAGAGACCGCACAGGAGAAGAAGACTCTTGATGAGATGGATTGATTCAGTGACTGGGGTAAAGCAGTAGGTGTGTTGGAGACAATAACAGCACAGCGCTGTTCTACATAGGGTCTCTATGAGTTGCAGACAACTCGACGACACGACACATAACAGCAACAACAACAACATACTGCTTTTAAGCATTTCTTTTCCTCATCTGTTTCAGAGCAGGGTACATTATGTATCCCCTCTTTTGTTTGTGTCCCTCTAACCCTGATGTCAGTCCTGTTTTATAACTGGCATTATGCATTATTTATCCTTTTTACCCAGCATAATGTTCTCCAGGGTCACTCATTTTGTATACTCTTTCATGAGTTCCTTGTTTTTCAGTGCTATTTCATACTATTCCATTGTGTGAACAATTCATCTGTTCTTTTCATTTTTTAAGTGGTAGGGAGCTCTGGTGACCTAGTGGTTAGAATCTGTGCTGCAATCCCGAAGATGTGGGATTTGAGGGCATCAGCTGCTCTGTGGGGGAGGGATGGTCAGTTAACTAACTGCCTCTGAAAACCTGCTGGAGGGTAAGCTATGGGTCGGATCCTACTCCATGGCATACAACAGCAACAGTATTGTTGGTAGATTTCAGAATGAAGCAAATCTCACACCATCCTTGCAATCTCTGCTTTGTGTTAACCCATTCTTACAACCACCCACCCAGTCCATCTCACTGAGAGTTCTAGATTAGATCTGTTTCACTGATACTTGGCTTTTGCAAGCATGATGTTTTCTCCAGGAACTGGCTCTTGATAACATGCCAAATTATAAGAAATAAAGTCTCACCATCCTTATTTCTAAAGAGGCTTCTAATACATTTCTCTCAAAACAG